ATCTTGGATCCCAGGAACGTGAAGTCTGTCACTGCTTCCACGACTTCCCCTTCTATTTGCCAAGGAGCGATGGGGCCGGATGCCATGATCTTAGTTTTTTTGATGTTGAGTTTCAAGCCAACCTTTGCGCTCTCCTCTTTCATCCTCAGCAAGAGGCTCTTGAAGTCCTCTTCACTTTCTGCCATCAGAGTGGTATCGTCTGCATATCTGAGGTTGTTGATCTTTTCCCCAGCAATCTTAATTCCGGCTTCTGAATCATCCAGGCCGGCATTTCACATGATGTACTCTGCATATATATTAAATAAGCAAGGGGACAATATACATCCTTGTCGTACTCCTTTTCCTTTGCTAAACCAGTCAGTTGTTCCATATCCTGTTCTAACTGTTTTTAGATAGCTAGCATTCTATAAAATTGCCCGATAAAGCATATGAGTGCCTGTATTTGCGCCCCATAGGCAGAATCAAGAGACTCTCACAAGTGTGTGTGCTGGTATAAATAAAGGGCAACTTTATTCAAACTTTAGCTTCAGGTGAATGAACTATAACTTGGCCAGGGCCAACTAAAACATAAGCCGATGCAAAGGGATACACCCCAGTTTCTTGTCTGGCCTGCAGTGGGTGAGCTACTGATCCCCTGGCACAAGCCAATGATAACATGGCCGTTGCCAAGCGGCAGGACATGCCAGTAACACACTGAAAGGAAGCCAGCCAGCTTAAGGCGCAGAACTTGAGGGGAGGCCAAATCCATGGGGCAACACAGGCACTTCCCCTCTGAGGCTCCTGCCAATGGACAGTTCCTGCCGAACGTGCTCACCCCCCAATCAAGGGGGGTCTGCCTGCTGGTGCTCACCACCAGTGTTCCCGCTAAGCTCAGTCAGTGTGAGCTAGCTCACAGTTAGCCTCCGGCGCACACATTTCTGTCTCAGCTCAGGAAGGATGGCTCCAGAGCGAACTAATTTCCGCAGTCGCCAAATCACTCGCTCACCACTTTAATGCCAGCAGCTCACAAAGGTAGAATTTTTGCTCACGAGGCTCCACAGCTTAGAGGGAGCATTGCTCAGCACCCTACCAAATCAGCCAGATTCCTGCTTTCCTGCTGGGGAAACCTAAGTAACGGCACCAACACCCCAGCCAATTACCCAACCACAGCGAACTGTGTGAGGCAGCCAGAAAGACCCCCTCTTCTCGCCCATCTGAAAGAGGGTGAAAAATTCCTACCTGGCCCCAAAATTGGTGACCAGCAAAAGCCCACACCATAGAAGGGAGGGCAGGAGGGCCAACAGAAATGCAAAGACTGCCCGGTAGAGAGGTGGGTGGAGCAAAGTAAACAAGAGTCCCCCCCCCCAATACCCATATGGGTGGCAATTTCCCAGCCTAGCCAAAGAACCAATTTGGTGCAGTGGTTAGGAGTACAGACTCTAACCTGGGAGAACGGAGTTTGATTCACCCACTCCACATGCAGCTGCTGGTGTGACCTTGGGCCAGTCACAAGTTTCTGAGCTGTTCTCTCAGGAGTAGTCCCTAAGAGACTCTCTCAGCCCCATCTACCTCACTGGGTGTCTGTTGTGGGGAGGGGAAGGGAAAGGAGTTTGTAAACCGCTCTGAGACTCGGGTAGTGAAGGGCAGGGGATAAATCCAATCTCTTCTCTTCTTCTTCTTCCTCTACCCCCTCTTCTGGCCAATCTGAAAGAGAGTGAAAAATTCCTACCCGGCCCCAAAGTTGGAAACCAGCAAAAACCCACACAATAGGAGGGCGGGCCGGCCAATAGAAATCCAAAGGCTGCCCAGTAGAGAGATGGGCGGAGCAAACTAAAACCAGATTCTCCGTTTTGTCTCCGCTTTGGGTCCTCTAGGGAAGCGGGGTTTTTTGTTTCTCACGTCGAAGTTAGGGTGTCACCTGCCTGAGGAGAACGTCGGGTCTTGGTAGTGAGAGAACCGGGTGTAAGCCTGGGTCATGAGGTGTCTTCGGGCAGGCAGCCAGCCATCTCGTTGTCTGTCCCACCACTTTGGGTGGCCCGTCTGGTATCGACCAGACTCGGGGCCTTCTCCATCGTGGCCCCAGCTCTGTGGGAGGGACTCCTTGAAGTGTGAGGGGAGCCCTCTGTGGAGATCTTCAGGCGGTGCTGCAAGTCCTGCCTGTTTGCCAGGGCTTTTCAGCGGCAGGCATCTTTTAAGGGAGGTAGAGATTTGGGGGTCTGGTTTTAACTGGGGTTTTTAAACTATTATTGGCCCCGGTCACACGGAGAATTTGCCACGCGAAAGGCACGAATGTCGAGTGGATTTTTGGGGCATGATTACACCGCAACATCTGGGAAGCGTAGCGCACCCGTGGCCAACCCGTGGCGTCCCGCCGAAGATGCGGAGTTAAAAAGTACCAAGGAAAGTGCACTAGTCTAATCGCAGGCGGGCGTCTGATCGCAGGAGTGCTAGTATCCCGTGGCATCTGTTGCCCGTCCACATCCCGTTGCAAACCGGATGTTTTTCGTAAGTGCATGCGCACAAATACAAAACTGAAAGCAGTGCTGCTCCGTGGAACTGCACATGCACATAAACGCGAAACACTTGTGTGATCGTGCCGCTTCTTTGCCACGCTGCAGCATCGCCGTGTGATAGCCAGCTAACAGCCTAAGCACGGAGACTCGGGGGACTGTGTGATCGGGCTACCGTGCTTTATTTTGCTCTGGGGCGAACAGCCACGCCTCCCCCCCACGTTATCTGGCCTGTTTGACCGGGGCCATTGTAAGTTGCCTGGTCTGTTGATCACGTTCTGTTGTTTTGGGATCAGTGGTCTCCTTTATGAGAACTTTCGGATTTCCCCAATTTCGAGCAAGTCCCAGTTTGCTATTGAAGCTCAGGTAGTGTCTGTTTTGTTAGCTGATGTCATGCGATCTGGTGTTACGCAGTCTGGTGTTACACAACCTGAAGTTAGCTGCAGTTACACGGTCTGTGGCCAAATCCTGGACTATTTTAATGTCTTTGAGGCCTTCTCCCACTACATATTAACGTGACGATCTTGCAGTGTTACTGGTGACATAATTTTCCCATTTCAATCAATCTGTAATTGTTATTGATACTTGAACTGCGACTTTATTGTATGACTCACGAGCTCTGGTCAAAGGAGCTTCTTCAGTTTGGTGTAGTGGTCAAGAGTGGTGGACTGTAAGCTGGAGAACCGGGTTTGATTCCCCACTCCTCCACATGCAGCCAGCTGGGTGGCCTTGGGTCAGTCACAGTTCTCTCAGAGGCGTTCTCTCAAAAGCAGTTCTCTCAGAGCTCTCTCGGCCCCACCTACCTCACAGGGTGTCTGTTGTGGGGAGAGAAAAGGAAAGGAGATTGTAAACTAATCTGAGACTCCGAATGAAGAGTGGGGTATAAATCCAATCTCCTCCTCCTCCTCCTGAGACACCGAGTGAACAGTGGGGTATAAATCCCATCTCTCCTCCTCCTCCTCCTGAGACACTGAGTGAACAGTAGAGTATAAATCCAATTTCTCCTCCTCCTCCTGCGACACTGAGTAAATCTAATTTCTCCTCCTCCTCCTCCTTCTGAGACACCGAGTGGGGTATAAATCCCATCTCTCCTCCTCCTCCTTTTCTTCTTTCTTCTTCTTTCTTCTTCTTCCTTCTTCTTCCTTCTTCTTCTTCTTCCTCCTCCTCCTCCTTCTTCTTCCTTCTTCTTCTTCTTCCTTCTTCCTCCTCTTCTTCCTCCTCCTCTTCTTCCTCCTCTTCCTCCTCCTCCTCTTCTTCTTCCTCCTCTTCTTCCTCCTCCTCCTCCTCCTCCTCCTCTTCTTCTTCTTCTTCTTCTTCTTCTATCATAAAGTATATAAGCTGCCTTGAGCCACAGGGAAAGTTGGGGGATAAAAGTTAATAAATAAATCTGATAAGCCCACGCTTATTTCATTTGACTCCTGTGGTTGCATAAAAGCGCATAAAAACTCTTGCGCGACAGGACTTCCATTCTGCTCTAGGTATGGGTCTTCTTGCACATCTGGTGACATTGCATTCCCTTTGCACTGTTGGGCAAGAAGGACAGTTAACTAGAAAGGGAATGTAGCTTGGGGATCTTTGGACTAGTGCAACTGTGGCTGTTTTGGGTCTTCTTCGTTCTCAGCCTCAGTTGCAGAGGACGGCGAAGGGCATCTGTTGGAAGCGAAATTAAAACAGAGGCCTCGTCAGGTGAAGGTGCCCCTGTACACCAGCCCCCTACCAATTCTCAGGACATGTGATCAATGGAACGTTCTTTTTTTTTTTTTGTCTGTTTCCAGATAACCGGAAGGGTGGGGGTTTACAATTGTCAGAAGGGGCGGGTGGGCTGCTTCTGTCGGAGGGGTTTGGGCCGCTTCTGCTCCGGAAGACATGTACCCAGAGTCGGCTTGGGGTAGGAAAGGCAGCACCGGTGTGGTTTGCGGGATGTGGGGGACTTCAGCTTTGAGAAAGTGACTTTGTCTGCAGGGAACATTGTGAGCCAGTGAACGCTGCAGGCTCCCATATCTAAAAAAAAAGGTGCAGTCAGGTAACTGGTTAATTCTTTAATGAGAGACCACCAAGGAAGTCCAGGGTTGCTACGCAGAGGCAGGCAATGGCAGACCACCTCTGAACACCTCTGGTCTTGACTTGGATGGCCCAGGCTAGCCTGATCTCACCAGATCTCATGGAGCTAAGCAGGGTCAGTGCTTGGATGGGAGATGTGATACAAATATAATGAAATCAAATAACACTGATTAGCGGCTAAGTAATTTTAGCTGCGGTGGCTCAAGTGGTTAAGACGCTGAACTGCAGGCGAGACCACCAAGGAAGTCCAGGGTTGCTACGCAGAGGCAGGCAATGGCAGACCACCTCTGAACACCTCTGGTCTTGACCTGGATGGCCCAGGCTAGCCTGATTTCACCAGATCTCATGGAGCTAAGCAGGGGCAGTGCGTGGATGGGAGACCACCAAGGAAGTCCAGGGTTGCTACGCAGAGGCAGGCAATGGCAGACCACCTCTGAACACCTCTGGTCTTGACCTGGATGGCCCAGGCTAGCCTGATTTCACCAGATCTCATGGAGCTAAGCAGGGGCAGTGCGTGGATGGGAGACCACCAAGGAAGTCCAGGGTTGCTACGCAGAGGCAGGCAATGGCAGACCACCTCTGAACACCTCTGGTCTTGACCTGGATGGCCCAGGCTAGCCTGATCTCACCTGATCTCATGGAGCTAAGCAGAGTCAATGCTTGGATGAGAGATGTGATACAAATATAATGAAATCAAATATAACACTGATTAGCGGCTAAGTAATTTTAGTTCTCCTTTGGAGGACACATTAAGAAGCATTTTTGCACTTTGACTTGAGACGGGCAGCGACTTTTTTGGTGAACTTTTCCCCTTTGGAGCAGAAGACTTAGAGTTCCATCTTTGTGAAGAAGCCTTTGGTGAAATGGGGCTTTCTATCAGCTAGCTTATGCGTAAAGAAGAATGTTGGAGGAATCTACAATTAGTTCATCCACCGAGCTCCAGTGCATCCTTGAACTCCTGTGGGACTTACGAATATAGGAACATAAAAGAAGCCAGTGTTGGATCAGGCCAATGACCCATCCAGTCCAACACTCTGTGTCACACAGTGGCCAAAAACACCAGGTGCCCTCAGGAGGTCCAGCAGTGGGGCCAGAACTCCAGGAGCCCTCCCACTGTTGCCCCCCCCAGCACCAA